AGTTTTCTTCATGGAGACACCTTAGGACAGTTGTGTGACTCACATTATTTTGACGTGCAATTTAACGTGAACTTCTTTTAAATGGTTTGGCATATCTAAGTTCTCTGAATTGTGCATAAATTTAAGATACAGTACCTTGTGAAATATTAGGCAACTGAGGATACCTCTGATTAAATAAGTTTACTACTTCAACTTGACTTCTACAATTCTCCCCGTAACCGATCATCATTAAAATCTCAATTCGGTGGGCCTTAGTTAAGTATTTAATTTTTATTTCTGCAAGAAATTAGTTTTTAATTAAGAATTTAATATTTTAATGTAAAATGTCAACAGCATGCCAACTGAGATAACAATCCGCAATATTTACCGATTTTAGTTTAATTAGCAGATTGTCTATACAGTTTTTACCTATTCACGACAAAAAATGTTAACACGGTTACTAAATCCCAATATACAGTGTACGTACACTTAGAGTAGAAGCCTATTGTCTGTATTTAGCTAATTTAAAATAATATAACACGTGATAAATTATTAATTTCAAAATTTTAACCTTGTATTATTCATTATAGACCCTACATGATATAGTTCATTGGAATCAGGTTGTTAAAAGTATTTTAAAAACATAAAAATATACGGGGTTTTTCATTAAAAATAGGGATTATGGACTATGCCAGACGTGCGTGGATCACCCTGTACATTTAAACTTATGTTTAAAAAGCGCACATTTAAATTTAAAAGTTAATGTGTCCCAGAGTTTTTGATTATTTTCTATAATAAGGATAGAAACAATTTTATTCCATAAGTGGTTTCCACTATATAACACCATAGTAATAAAAATTACTATTTTCATTGGATGATGAACAGTGTGGGTGTCTTCCATTCGTTGTCGTGAATACCCTAGTTTCTTTCTAATTGTGTAACATTAATTTTGTACAATTTAATCAAATAATATAAGGTTCCCTTTCTCTGCTATAAAATACTATTAATTTTTTAATTTAAAATCAGGCAATTTGTATTAAAGAGTTTCAGTTGTATACATTAAATTTGTAACAGTATATATTACATTTTTTAAATTTTCTCGGTACCTGTCATGTGTCCCACCTGTTGATCTTTTGAGCTCCCTTCTCCGCAGGTTTTTTTATGAGCAGCTTGTTGGAATGTTACAGTGGTGGCCGACAATTAATATCGAAAACATGCCATAAATCATCAACTCACTGGTATGCACTTTAAGTGCCTTTGAAACAAGTAATTATTAATTCTTTTTGTAATAGTTGTGTGACATTTTTACCCACCAATGCTTTGTGATTTTAACTGCACTAGTTTTCAATTTAACTTTAAAATGTGCTTTGTGTTATCGGTACTTTTACTTGTGTTAATTTTCAAAGAATTGCCAAGCAGCTATTTTCAAAGTTTCGTTTGTCAATTAAGGTTATTTTTATAATTCAAACATACTTATTTGGTTTAATTACTGAATTAAGTAAGTGTAAGTAAGACAATCAATTTGAGACGTCACTTATTGGCCTTCTCTTTATATTTAAAGAGCTTCAATAATGCTTCTAAAAGAGGATTACTCTTGCCGATTTGGATTGGTTGTAAGTACAAAACGAAACGTTTCCTAATATATGGAATAGAGCAATATGTCCTAAACTATTTGCTAGTTGAGATAGTGACCTTTAAAAGAATATCAAGTCCATTTTCACTTAGAAGAATAGAACACCATGTGGACTTAATGCTCCATTCCTCTACGCATGTAAATTACCGCCGTACATAGTGTTGCATATTTCTATCATGACAGATAGACTGGTAGAGATCCAATAATAGTACTTTTGTCATTTATGGTGTATTTACAGTTGTATTTTACTAATATTAAGAATAATGTACCATAATCCTCGTGGAAGAAAGATTGTACTGAACTACTGAAAAGTTCTGCGAATTTTGCTAATGCAATTACAGGTAAGCTACCTTTTTTGCTCATTATTTTTAAATTATTATAAAAATAACCTCAAAAGTTAATGTAGTGATTTGATACCAATCTTAAACTAGCAATATTATTAAAATATAACTCTACAACTAATATTATATGCCTACTTTTATTTCAAAATCAAATAATATACCAAGCAATGCTGTTTTAAATAAAGAGCATATTATTGGAGATGCCTTGAGTTTTGATGACGAAAATAAGGCTTATATAGACAAAAGATATAATGAACTACTGGTGGTGGAAATGAAATCGGATCTGCATTACTGAAATGGGCAGATACCGTCATTCCTGGCGGTGAAATAGAAGAAATCATACTACGGTTGGTACGGCCAGAATAAAAATGTTAGCAATATTATGTGTTACTTTTGGATAGTTAATAAGCATCCTTAAGTAAAAATCATCACTCAGAAATTTTTTAATCCCTGTATGAGCCTCGGTAGAATATCAGTTCGATTTTGATCAATATCTTCAGGATTTGTTGTTAAAATAAATTAAAATTCGTAAATAAAATGTTTATGATAAAAATAATCCAATAAAATAGAGTTACCATAGTGGCACAGTAGTAACAGTGGCAGTAGTTTTGCCATTATGTTCATTGTTGTCCAATTTAGTCAAGTTTTCGACGTAGAATGGTATGATGATGTCTCTAGAATTATCTAGTGATAGTGACGTCGATTTGTTTTTCCTAATAAGTGCCAGTTTACTTCATATTAGATCAAAGAAGAAACTCAGATATTGGATACATCCTATAGTAAAAGAATGAAAAAATAAAGGAATGTTTTATACGTTAGTTAACGAAATTAAAGATGACCCAGAAGAGCATCTTCCGAAATAAAACTGTGGGTAACCTCTCTTCAAGCATGGTTTTTCTTTATTTGATTGGAATATTTATTTAAGAGCATATCCCAAATTGCTGGCCGAGTGTGAATTTCGGTAATTAATTTATCAATGTCTATAGCTTTCATAGTAAATACAAAATTTGGCAAACACTCACAGAAATAATCAAACAAAATTGTTACAAAATAGTCACACGTTGAAGTTGTGTTGTCACTGTGTTGAAGCACCAGATATCTATTACTGATGTGCGATGTGCCGCCAGAGGTCATACAAACCGCTGACGGCGGCGAGCTGACAAACGACGGCTCGTCTGTGTTGCACATCATAGTACCATGGACGAGAGACCGCTTTCAACACCGCGCGGCCGCCGACGCGGCACAGGCCGCCCTGCTTGTGTTTAACCTTAGACATCCAGCCTTCAAAATATTCTTTGAACCATCACTGAGAAATACTTGCAATAAATCACATACTTGGATTTAATTAGTTGACAACAGAACATATAGAAAGAATTATGGACGATATCAAGAAGTAATTGGTCAAATAAATGACTAATTACCTGCTGCAAATTGACTTATTTAAATGAAATAGGTGAGTCATTTATTGAATCATTACCACTTAGAAGTTTCTAATAAAGAATCACACCCACATGAAGGCGGACACTATCCATGCGCTGATAGAGCGAAAGAGAAAAAACTTCAAATTAGAAATAAAATAGACAGTAAAATTTCTATTTTAACGCCTAGGAATGGCAGCAGTTAGGTAGACAAACCTTAATGAAATATACTGTACATAATATGGAACTAATCAAAATATGTTACCGACGTATTTTGAAAATATCATGGATGGATCGCAAAACAAACGAACAAGTTCTCGAACAACTAGGAAAACAATGCGAAGTTTTAAATTCCATAAAAATCAGGAAATTGGAATACTTGGGGCACATAATGAGAGGTGAAAAGTACGAACTACTAAGGAATATAATGCAGGGTAAAATCAAAGGTAGAAGAAGCGTAGGAAGACGTAAAATCTCGTAGCTACGCAATCTCCGTGAATGGTTTGGATGCAGTTCAATTGAACTATTCAGGCGAGTAACCAATAAAATTATAATTGCCAAAATGATTTCCAATCTCCGATAGGAGTGGAACTTGAAGAAGAAGAATATGGAACTAGAAGATTTTAAAAATTTTAGTTTTTTGTATGATGTTAAAACATCTCAAACTCCGCCTTTGAATAGGTAATATAAAAAGAGACATTAACAAATAAGTTCTGTCAATCTGTGTTAAACTGCAAGTAAAATAAAGCAGCATGCGAACTCTATTTTTGAAAAGTAATTTTTATGATGAAAACCAGGAGATTCTACATGTTAGGTTTTGAAGGCGACACCTTACCTTGCTAAAAGATTTGCAACAGGTATTACAAAGTTTAATACCTATGTAACAACAAAATTATAATGATCTATCACCATTACTGCCACCTGCTTCTAAATTTTGCCATGATTTTTTAAAAAACTTAAGGTATACTAGTAATACTAATAGTGATTATTCAGAAGGGGACTTACTTGAAGATGACTGAGTGGTTTGTACGTAAAATACCATTTTGGTTAAATACATGGATGTGTTATTTGTATTTGTAAGGGTGAATTGTATGGTTAACTAAATTTTTTAAGTCATATAGTATTGTAGTTGTTATTAAATACCCCAAACTAAGTCTTATACTACAATAACTTTATTAGAGGGATACAACACTATGTTCTATTAAAATATTGTTTCAATATCTCAATAAATAGCTGAAGCAATAACACTTTTTGGTAAGAAAAAGTTTAAAACTGTCATATAAACTGTCAACTGTCAAATAGTCCTCTTACAACTTTATAACATTCCGCCAATGACAACTAATCGGATCGGCTACCTCTATAGGAAGACGATGGCATAAAAAGAAAAAGGTAATGTCTATAATTGCTATTACCAAGGCATCAAAACCATAAAACGAATTTTAAAAATTACTTCATGTTTTAAATATAATATTGCTGAAACAAAGTACTTCATCATATTAGTTAAAAATGTTTATTTCTTATAATTTTGGAAATTTTTTTACATAAAAAAATACTTCAAATGTCATTTATGTACTTAGTACAAACAATAAGTTACTTGCGACTTGAATTTAAAACATAACGAAGAATCGGTTACTGTAGTGATTGTAAATTTAACCATATACCTCCAGCGACACTTGTGATGACAGCATTTGGAGCATATTTTATGGGAAGTTGTGTTTTTTTGTTAAGCGTTACGGTGAAACTTTTTATAATGGCCACTATTCCCACCTTAGTCTGTAACAATCCCAATCTGGAAGCTAAAAAATACGAGAATTTATTACAACATTTTAAAAACGCATTTTTTTTATTTATTTTGCTTCAACCACTTAGGGTTATTAGCATAAGAAAAATACAAAAAGTGATAGAGACATACATAAACATCTACAAAATATTAATTACATAATAATGAATACAATATAATATATTTTAATGATTGATGAATTGTATTAAATTTTATTAAAAAAAATTATAGATTTCAAGAGCTCTATCAAGTCAGCTACGTATTTAGATTCTCCTAGAAGTTCTTTTATTAGATACGCTGACGATACAGCCATTCTTGCAGAAAGTTTACAAGATTTCCAAACATTACCAAATCTAGTCAGTGAAGCAAGTTATCGGAGAGGCCTAAAAATCAACATTTCAAAGACAAAGTGGATGGCAGTTGGAAAGATCCATATAGATCAAGGTCTGCTTTCTCTTAATGGAGAAGAGATAGAAAGGGTAAATCATTTCAAATACCTTGGCAGCTGGTTAAATGTAAATTGTGACTCTGATGAAGAGATAATATCCAGGATCGAAATATCACGTAAGGCTTTTATGACCTGGAAACCAGTTTTATGCAACAGAAACCTGTCAATGAATATTCGTAAGAAGGTGAAATGTTATGTGTGGTCGATCCTATTGTATGGTTGTGAGACATGGACGTTAAAAACCACAATGCTAAACAAGTTAGAAGCATTCGAAATGTGGTGCTATAGACGAATCCTAAAGATATCGTGGGTTCTCGCACACTTCCAATAAAGATGTTCTTCAAATGATCAATTCAGAGAGGAGAAAAACAGAATGCTTCGGCCATATAATTAGAGGACCCAAATACCATTTACTTCGCCTTACAATACAAGGAAAAGTGAAAGGAAAGAGATGGATTGGTCGAAAGAAACTTTCATGGCTGCGTAATATTAGACAATGGTGTGGTTTCACAGTAGAAGAATTATTTCGCGCAGCAGCCGACAGAGAAAGGTTTCAGGAAATTGTAAGCATGATGACGGCCAACGTCTGTATACGGACACGGCACCAGAGAAGAAGAAGAAGTTCTTTTAATGTTTTAGGAATGTGGTGTCAACTGAGTGTATTGAACAGTCAATCAAAATGTTACTTCACTGTCACTTTACATTCACAAATAAAACACACAGGTTCTTCTTTTTTCTTCAACAAGTATTCATGTGTTGTAGAAGTGTGTCCTAATCTGAGACGTGTTAATAGGACTTGATGTTGTCGCTTTGAAGGCCAGAAGTTCCATAGAAGGACGAAAGATTTTATTTCTATCAATTTAGTGGTGCTTCTAACCCATTGCTTTTGCCAAACGTCGTGCAATTTTAATTTTAAGTAAGGTTTTAAATCTAAATGTTCCAGATTTTTCACTGATGGGGCTGTATTTGTCACTGCGGACCTAGCTAGACTATCTGCCTTTTCGTTACCATCTATTCCAACGTGTGACGGTACCCAGAGGAACTCTACTGCCAAATTGTTTTGGTATATACGGTATAAAATTAACTTAATCTGCTGTAATGTTGGATGAGAGGGATAAATCTGACAAATCGATGTCAGACAACTAAGTGAATGAGATATTATAAGAGATTTTTGAAGTTTTTTTTTTTTTTTCTAGAATACAGGTTAGGGCCTTATTGATAGCAAATAGTTTTGCTGTAACAATACTTGTCTTAGGAGACAATTTATAAATGGAATGTTCATGTGATATTACAGATAATGCTCCAACTCCATTAATAGTCTTAGATGCGTCCGTGTATATAAAATGGTAATTTTTGTACTGTGTGAGAACATGGAGAAAGTGAGTTTTAAAAAAATTGGGTATCACGTTATTTTTGTTATATGCTGTAGGTTTAAGATTACAATGCGGAGAAAAAACAATCCAAGTAAAACATAAATTTATTTCACAGGTAGGATAAATGGGAGGTAGTTCAATATTAAAATCCAATAAGTATCTATTAGCTCGTTCATAGAAAGGTACAGGATCCCTATTTCTTTTTTGATAGACCTCCTGAAACCTGTTAGCAACAGCATGATGAAGAGCTGGATTTTTTGGGTTTGATTTTATATTCGAGACATACAGTAGAGTTACGTATTTTCTTCTTAGGTTTAAGGGTAGCTCTCCAGCTTCACAGAGTTGACAGTCCGCAGGACTGGTGCAATATGCTCTTAGAGCAAGTCTAATGGCTGAACTCTGAAGAGTATCCAAAGTTTTGAGCAATACCTGGTTAAAAACGCATTTTGTTAAGCGTATTTGAAGTTCATTAAGTGTTTTATTAAAAAATTATTCTATTAAATAAACTTTTACATCTACGTCAATCTCTTTAGTAATAACAGATGATGCCGGAACTCATGTGTTTCACAGAGGAACTAAAGAAAAATTAGGAACCCTCGAGTGAAATATAATGAGAAATATATCAGTGTTAATAATTATTAGTAATAGTCAATTTATAAAATTACTATATCATCTAAAATAAAAGGTATGTTCCCAAAAAGGAAATGGATGAGATATACAATCAGAAGAAATATACTAAAACTATGTAGGCAGATCAAATAGATGATGTTAGGAAATTTAGAATGCTGATAAAATAAGTCTTGACAATGAATTAAAGAAAAAAATAAACCTGTGTTTTTTCATCATCTTATTCTGCAACATTCTGTGGAATTTGATAGAAACAAACGCTAACATTTTCGTTAAAAATCCTTATCTCTTTATTATCAAAGAATATATAAAACTTTAAATTTTACATTTTCTGTGAATAGTTATAATGAAAGAGTCTATTTTAGAATAACTCAATCTTACATCAGCTAAAACATGGATGACCATAACATGTTATGACATGAAATGAAAATAATCAAATAATCCAAATATCTAATGTAAAATGTTGCAGAATGGTACATATGCTAAAAAAACGTATGCGCTTTTTTAATTGTTGTGATATATCAACAAAACTTAAGATAAACCAATAATACAAACTTGGTGTATTTACAAACGCAAATGATACTTACCAATACACATTCTTGGTCCTTCCCAAGGGATGTAAGCAAAGGGATGGCGTTTTGCTTTATTTTCTTCATTAAAACGTTCCGGATCAAACACATCAGGATCGGGATAATGATCTGAATTTCTATGAAGAGCCAAAATCGGAATTATTACCCTGACTCCCTTTTCAATGACAAGGTCTGTGCCAGGAATGGTGTACTCCGAATTGCATATTCTTCCTATTTCTGATGCTGTAGGATGCATTCTTAGTGATTCTAAAAACAATAATATAAAACAGTTTATATCTTGGGAAATTTGGATCTGTGTAAAATTACTTTGCAAAGTTTGCCGATACTAAAACTGATAAATTTTTGGCCTAATGGTCCATACCTTTTTAGACCTTTGCATGTTTCGTACTAGTTTCTAACGTATGGAGCAGAAAAATTTACCCTTACCAAAAAAGTAGTACACAGAGCAATTGTGAGGTCAAAGTTGAATATATTCCTCACAGACTAAGTTTCAAATTAAATAGGAGAACAACTGGTGTTACAGACGCCATTTAAAAAATACAGTGGATATTTTTCCACAGAAATATTTTATATAAGTTTCATCTTTGTTCAATATATGATTATAGGTACTATTTAAGATTTCTACGCTGTATTTTTGCTGTTTAACCTTTCGTTTTCATTACCACGGAGATAAGTAACTTCTGCAATAACCTGAGGTTTAAAAGAAAAACATACAGAAAGTTGATACATTGAGACTATTAAAAGAATAATAATAACAGAACAAGGACATGAGAGGCAATAACAGGATATTTACAGCTTTTTATCACTACCACAAAAAATGTTTGGGTTTTAACATCCCAAAACCAGTATTCTTATTGCTTTTAGACCTTTTTGGTATGAAATATACTGATACACTTACCGTGAACAATTTTATCTAAATAAGTCATTTCCATTATGCCGTCGTAAGTTATCTGGTGATCGTAATTTTCCAATACTGTATTTATTTCCTTTCTCAACTTATCTTGAATTTCTAAATTCATGGCTAGCTCTAGCATAGTAAATGCAATTGCAGTTGCAGATGTCTCGAAACCACCTATGAAGAAGGCAAAGCATTGAGCAGCTAGCTCATTAAGCGATAAAAAATGACTATTGCAATCATTTTCGCCTACCGAGGTAATGTGATAATCCGATATTTTTCCTTTATTTCTAAGTTCTAACAATAGCTGCATAAAATCGTTTCTGTATACGGCATTTTCCTCTCTATAGCGAACTGTCTTTTTTACTGCGTTCATAAAAAAGTCTTCAGTCTCGTGATCTAATAAATTAATCCGTATTGCATCCAGAAACCATTTAGGAAAACTATTACTCATTTGTCGTTTTAACTGTTCCCACATTCCAGGTTCAAATACTCTTCTGCCGAATTTTCTGAATTCCGAATCAGAATTTTTAAGACTGTTACATTCAATACCAAATGCAGCTGAAATAATAATATCTGTCGTAAATCTAGAAACCACTTCTTTGATATCCACAGCATCTTGGAGTATAACATCCTTTTTTAAAATAACTGTTAGGTTTTCAGAATAAGCTACCATAATTGGGAACATCATCTTCATCTTTCCTAAAACCATATATATTTTAATAAAAGTACATTATGAAGAAAGTATGAAGAAATTTCATAGAACAACGAGAAACCTAGAACAAAATATAAAAAACATCTTTACGGAAAAGGAACCGGAACTGTCTACACAACACAGAATGGTCACTGCAAAACTGGAGGATGAAAAAATGGAGGAAGTGGAAAGAAAAGAGTATAAGAAAGTAAATGTTAACAAACTAAGATAGAAAGTGTGCGAGAATTGTACACGGAGGAAAACTAACAAAAGACAGACAAATAGAGTGCCAAAAAGAAACATGGACAATGGAAGAAAGATGGAATACTTACAGTAAAGGATTAAAGACAACAGCAACTGAAGTGTGTGGAATCAAAAAATATAATAAACAATTGAAAAGGACAAGATAGTGGAATAAAGAAGTGAAGACAGAAAGAAAAAAGAAGAAAATAGCATGGAAAACATACATCGAAACGGGATTAGAAGAAGATAAAGAAAAATACCATAGGCAGAGACGATTGGTAAAAAAGACAGTTACACAAGCAAAAGCAAAAACATGGAAAGAATTTGGAGAAGAACTTCAGAAAGAATATATAACAAATAATAGAAACTTTTGGACGACAATACGACGCATAAGGCAAGGAAGACGAAAGGAAATAAATGCAGTAAGAAATACTTCAAACCAAATACAAATAAGCCCAAAACAAGTAACTAGGGTATGGAAAGAATATTATGAGAAAAAATTTAATACCGAAGGGATAAATGAAGACAATATAAACAATGAAGGCGAAGAAAACACAGAGCTAGAGCAAATAAGTAGAGAAGAAGTAATAGAAGGATTATCAAATATAAAAATAGGCAAGGCAGGTGGAGATGATGAAATTGAACCGGAAATATATGGGAGAAGAAGGAATAAACTTGCTATGGAAAATATATAAAGAGGCGTGGGAAAAACAAATAATCCCTAAAGACTGGCAGAATAATATCATCATGCCAATGTACAAAAAAGGAGAACTGTGAAAAGACCTTTCAAACGATATATCACAAGCCTATACCTTCTATTTTAAAAATTGGGGATTGTACCTGTCATTCTAAGGAGGTTGAAGGTAGGGGTTGCATTTTCACGTTAAAGAATGTCAAGTTATAATTTAAATTTGACGTGTTTCGGGAGTTTTTATAAATAGGTACAGTAACCTAAATAATGAATTTATTCCATTTGGCTTTTACACACTGTATAGTGCTACTCATAATTCATGCAGCACAAACATGGGCTACACTTGGACCCCGGCCAGTCTTAAACTGATTAAAGATTAAAATTTTAAAGTGCGTCTTAAAAAGATTTGAGAGTTTGTTTAAAAAGTCAAAACAGTGACTTTTATTATTTAAGATGAGTACAGGTGTTTCTTATCTATTCTAATACAATTAATAATATAAATAAATATACTTTTATAACAATAAAACTTTTTAAGTCGTAGATAAGAAAATTATGGATAAAGACGAAGTAAAAAGACTTACCTTGATCTTCAACAATATATACCCCATATATATAAGTGGAAAAATACCCCAACAGTGGCTAATATCAACTTTTAAAACAATCATTAAAAAACCTAATGCCAAAAATGTGAAGATTATCGAATATTAAGCCTTATGAGCCATCTCCTGAAACCTTTTTTAAAAATTACATAAAAGAATAAGTATATAAAAAGTGTGAAGAACACATGACAACACACAAAGCGTTCGATAGAATAAAACATGACGAACTGATGAAAATATTAAATTCAATTGGTCTAGACAGCAGAGATCGCCGTATAATAAACAATATATATTAAGAACTAACTGCAGCTGTTAGAGTTGGGGATCAGCTAACAGACGATATAAAGATAAATAGAGGTGTACGACAGGGATGTATATTGTCCCCATTATTGTTCAATACATATTCAGCGTACATTATGAACCTAGCGCTAACGGACATAGACGAAGGAATACTTATAACCGGAGAACGATTGAACAACATAAGATACGCTGATGATACTGTCATTTTTGCAGACAGTCTTGAAGGTCTGCAGACACTTGTCTTCAGGGTGGCAGAAGTAAGCAGCAGGTTTGGGCTTGATTTTAACATAAAAAAAACAAATACATGGTTATAAGCAAAAATAGGATACCACCTGGTCAATTACTAGTTAACCAACAACCTATAACACAAATCACCAACTTTTGTTATCTGGGTGCAAACTTAAATGAACAGTGGGATCAATCGACGGAAATTAAGATAAGGATCGAGAAGGCAAGATCAGTTTTCGTCAAAATGAAAAAAATCTTTAACAGCCACGACATAAAATTGGAAATAAAAGTTCGTTTACTAAAATGCCAGGTTTTTTACGTTCTTTTATATGACGTAGAGTCATGGACCTTAACTGAAGCATCACTGAAGAGACTCGAAGCATTTAAGATGTGGTGCTATAGACACATGTTGAGGATTTCCTGGATAGACAGAATTACCAACGAAGAAGTACTACATAGAATGGGTAAAGATCGCGAACTAGTCGTAACCATAAAACGTCGCAAACTAGAATACCTGGGCCATATACTGAGCAATGAACAACGATATGACCTACTTCGGATCATACTTCAAGGTAAAGTACATGGGAAAAGAGGTCCAGGACAGAGAAGAATATCCTGGCTGCATAACTTGCAAGTGGTTTAACTTAACCACTACCGGACTTTTCAGGGCAGCAGCAACAAAGTCAGAATTGCCATGTTAGTGTTCAACATTCGTAACGGATAGGCACCATAAGAGAAGTCGTAGATAAACAAAACAAGCTATTTAACTAAACATCGTTGCGAATACGACACTTAAGGATGAGTTTATTCAGAGCAATCTTGCATTTTGTTTTAAAGATAAACTCTATAATTGACTAATCAAAATTACTAGCTTAATAATTTTAACCTTAAGTATCTTTAAGTATATAGTGAGAATGATAGACGTAATAAATAAAAAAATATAAGGAATTATGAGTAGAACAACCACTATCTTATTTAGTACGGACATCTAAAGAGAATGGCAGACTATCTCCTACCGAAGATAATATAGGATTGGCAGCCACCTGTTAATCCAGATTGGCAGATATTTTTTAAATATTTACTATATTAAATATCTTACCTGTAGTGAATGTAGGAGTCAACTTTCCCCTTAAAATCCTCCATTTCTCACCTTCCAGAGTAAAGAGATGTTCCGAAAGTGGTGATCTTTTTTTATTGAAATAAATGCCACGGTTTACGAAATGTCCAAAATCCTTTTGTAGAATATTCTTAACAATATTCACATCGATTGGCATGAACGTAGGTTTCATGAAGGCGTAATACCCTCCATACCTCAACCCTTTACTTTTAAACTCGTCATACAACTTCTTCAATTGATCCGAGATGCACAAGTTGCCATTAGAAAATTCTTTTAAGTTTCCATATAGGAAGTGTGGTTTTACCTGATAGACACCGCGTCTTTTCCAGTAATCGTAATGCCATTTTTGATACACATAGATGGCTAGCGGCAAAAATAAAATGAACAACAAAAACATCGTTCAAAATACAATATTCTTTGCGACTGATATTTTTTTTGTAAAATTTCTTTTTTATATGAAGAAAGTATCCTGTATAATCTGCAGTAAACATGCGTTGAGTTCATTGATCGTGTAATGATAAGATATTCATTTCCTTCTTGCTATTTTTTCTATAGCCTGATGACGCTTATGTTAAAAAGTTGTGACCAAGAATTAATATTTATAGAGATGATAAAAAGTTAATTAGCTTAATAATGTTCTATTATATATATATATATATATATATATATTATATATATATATATATATATTATATATATATATATATATTATACATATCGGAAAAGGAGTACGACCGTCAATCCAATATAAATTAAGGATCACTCAGACGAGTGGTGGGTTCTTTTATCGGTCAAAAGGTGGAGAAAAAAAAAACAAAGTTGATGGCTACTTTATCTATTTATTGAAGACGTTTTGCTTTTATATTCAGAAAGCATCATCAGTCATCTTAAAAAGATATGTAGCAGTCAAAGATATTAAAAATGTAAAGAAGCTCAAGTAAATGGACATTATACGATAATATTGTATAGACAATCAATTAAACTAACAACAATTAGCAATTTGTTAAAACTTAGCACAGCAAAAGAACATGTCTATTATACACGTAAACGTAATAAAACATTAAATAGTGATTAAATAATTAAGAATATCATAGATTCACTTCCAACAAATATATTAATATTTATAATTTGATTTTAACCTTAGGTAGCATTATTAAAGTGAATAATATTGAAATTTAATAATGTAGTGTATAATGAATTTACCATTGTTGGCTTCACGACTCCTGCGACTCCAGCGGCAACAAATTGCTAATTGTTGTTAGTTTAATTGATTGTCTGTACAATATTATCGTATAATGTCCATTTACTTGAGCTTCTTTACATCTCTAATATCTTTGACTGCTACATATCTTGAAACTGAAGAAACTGTGAAGAAGTCATTCTCTTCTTAGAGAATATCGAAAAACTGAGGCTAACCATCAACTACCCATCCACCAAGATAAGCTTGATATCGAAATAAACAGACTGTGCTCCAGATATCCTCCATTGCTAAGAGTCAACTCCTTACATCAGGAACATTTTAATCTGGCCAATGCTTGATGCAGGAGAACACAATGGGAGAGCGACTTACCACAGGAAGCACATCAAATGACCTGTATCGATCAGAAACCGCCAGGCTTTGAACTGATCCGCAATACATGGACTACGCTAAACAGAATAAGAACAAGCAGCGGTAGATGTGCTGACAGCTTATATAGATGAGGAAAAGCCCTTACTCCTGAGTGTGACTGTGGTGCGCAAAGACAGACCATCCGTCACATTCTTGAAGAATGTCCCCGAAGGCGATTCCCTGGAGTTTTCGATGAGTTCCTGAATGCGACTGAAAATGTTTTACATTATATTAATAATACATTAGATGTTCGTTTGTAATACTTCATGTAATGTTTTATATTGATTTTTTTAATTATGTTCTTATTGTATGCCATACGATAAATAAATAAAATGAAAGTTAATGAAAAGATAATGTGTGTATATTAAATTCTCTAGTCTTTTCCAAGATTTGCCTCAAGACGGAGATCTGATCTATTGTGGACTTCTGCCTTCGGAAACCACATTGATATCCCCCAACTATTTATTCCGATCGGTCATACACAATATTTGACAGTATTTTATACGTCACAGTCAGTAGCGTTATTGTCCGGTTGTTTTTACATTGAAGCTGATCTCCCTTTTTGTGTATTGCGATAATTACTCCGGTATTCCAGTCTTCTGGCAGTTGTTTATTATTCCATATGTTCATTATTAGTTCGTGTATCGCATTCAATAGGGAGTCTCCACCTTCCTTACTGTTTGATTACTTCATCCATAATCAGGTTGAACAATAGAGTACCCATTGCTAGCTTTAATAAGGTCGGTTAGTTCTTTTTCTACTTTTACTTTTATTGTGTTATTTTGGTAGATATTTTCGATCGTTTTGAATATTCCTAGAGTTATCTCCCTTGCATACAGTAAGTAGATAAGGTCCTTATCTACTTAAGGTAATACCTTTTTAAGGTCCAAGAAATATAGATATGCCGGTTTGTTGTATTCAAATGATTTCTCTTGCACTTGCCTTATTATATATGTAGCATCGGTGCATGATCTTCCTGACCTAAAACCTTGTTGTTCTTCTGCTAGTGTTATAATTTTATTCAGTTTATTTGTCATCCCTTTGGTTGTTAATTTTAGCGTTTTGTTTAATTTTTGTTTAATTAATTAATTCCTCTGTAATTTTTCGGGTCCGATTTGTCTTACTTTTTGAAGAGAGGTATTAGCATTTTCAGTAATTTTTACTTTCAAGTCATTTTTATTTGATATTGAAGTACTGTTTACTTTATTTTTTAATGAGATCCACAATTTTTTAATACCATTCAAATATGGTGACTTGGCTGGTATTTGAATGACATCTCGGCAATTATAAAGCAACCAAGTACGAACCCGCAAGTTCTCTTGACGTTGGCGATTAACATGACATTAACAACCAAGAGGCCTGCTTTCTACCAATTCCTCTGCGTCCTTCGATTTTACCCATCATAAGAAGTTGAAGAATATTATATCGGTCTGCTCTTACTGCGTGTCCAAAATAGGCCATCTTTCTACATTTGATGTTATCAAGCAGCTCGCAAGCAGCATTTGCTCTCTCAAGGACTGCCACATTTCAAAGGCCTCCAGACGATTAATAGTGGATATTTTTAATGTCCATGCTTCGACACCGTATAAGAGGACTGACCAAATGTAGCATTTAACCATGCGCTTTCGAAGTTAAAGTTACAAGTTATCATTACAGAAAAATGACCTGATTTTTAAAAATGTCGTGCGGGCTATCTCGATTCTACATTTTATCTCTTGATCTGGATCTAGTTGTTCAGTAATATGGCAACCAAGGATATTAAAACTGGACACACTTTGAATTATATGACCATCAACATATAATCGTGCATCTTGATGTGCTAAACGGCTAAACACCATGTGTTTTGTTTTTGAACAGTTTATGTTTAGGCCAAACTCTCTTTCCATTGTTTTAATGGCAGTTAAAAGGCATTGTAGTCCATTCATGTCATCACTTAAAATAACTGTATCGTCTGCAGATCTGATTGTATTTATCAGAATTCCATTAACTCTCACGCCCCATTCCAAATTATGCAGCGCTTCTTTAAATATTCTATCTGAATATAAATTAAATAACAGTGGGGATAGTATACAACCCTGTCTGACACCTCTTTGTATTTTACATATTTCTGTTGATTTTCCGTTTATGCAAGCTGACGTTGTTTGACGCCAGTATAACTTTTCTATCGAATCGTATGTCTTGACTATCAACTTCTTTATCTTTTAATATTGTAATTAATTTGTCATGCTGTACTCGATCAAAGGCCTTTTCATAGTCAATAAATACAGCAAAGACGTCTTTCCTTTAATCTCGACTTTTCTGCAGTAATACATTTGGTGCAAGATGGCGTCCCGAGTTCCCAGTCCATTTCTGAAGCCAAATTGTGTTTCATCCTGGTCTTCTTCACATTTATCTCTAATTCTACAGTGGATGATGCGTAGAAATATTTTCAAAGTGCAAAGGCATACTAAGGCAAAATAAAATTCATGTACTGGTATGCTCATATTTCCTTCAATAAAATGCATGTTACCTACTTCTACGAACCACATACATCCCTACAACATGACCCCACCTTCACCTTGAGTTACCGTAGCTTTCATATTTTTTAATTTTAGTGCTTCGTTTGGTTTTCCTCAATCCGATATGTTTCCATCGGACCCAAACAAGTTTACTTTTATTTTATCAGCAAATAGTACGGAATTCTAAAAGCTCAAAAAAAACAATCTAATACTCCTGTTTCTTTGCCTAATAAAAGGTTTATTTTTAGCAGTTCGACCATATAGATTATTCTTTCGTAATATATGTCTAATTGTTTTGGGCTTACATCTTTTTCCAAACTGTCTTTCCACCTCATCTCACAATTTTGGTGCATTTTTTAAAGGATTATTTGCTATTTCTCTGACAATCGATCTTTCTTCACGTTCGCTAAAACTTTCAACAATCTGCGCAACTGTTAAACATTTATTTACAATTTTGGATATGTCTCTTTGGCTACATCCATTTCTAGTAGGCGACCCGTTCTTAAATAATTTTGTTATAATACTTTTAAATAAAAAATTAAACTTCTGATGAGAAAAAGCTTTATCAAAAGTTAGTTGAAAGTAAAGGAAGATTTCTATAACCATACGAATTAAATAAAATTGATCCACACATTGTACATCATAATTTAATTATTTCTAAAAGGTTTCAAACTTAACAATACTCTATATACAATTCTATTTATTTTATTGGTTCCAAATTTATCCATAAGCCTCCATTTACACTAATGATTACAGCTTTTGGAGAGTACGTTATGGGTAGTATAGTCTTTTTATTCAGTGTTACTTTAAAGTCTTTTAAAACCGCTACAAGCCCAACCTTCGTTTGCATTAGTCCAAATCTTGAACCTGAAATCAAACAAATAAAATTTATATAAAATATTTGAAACTTTCTTAAAAGTTATTAATAGAATAATAATCTAGTTATCTTCACTTAACTAATGATTGAATAAAATCTCATTCCAGCCTTAATTTGTTTTTTCAACTTCAATTTTTACATTATCAATTCATTTCTTGGAATTTTTTTTTAATTAATAGGTAAAGTAAACAATAGTTTGTATATTAACTAAAAAGGTAATAGACGAAGAAAAACTAAAGTTTGTGACAAAATTAAAAGAAACTAAGCCTAATCTAAGGAGCTATAGTTAGAAACCAAATTTGTAGGCAGTAGATTCTTAGAAATCTTAATGCGATAAAGCGACGACATCGTTGCCAGTTTGTGGTGATAGATATTCTAGCAATTTTAGCAATTCTAGCAAATGTAAAGTCTAATATAAAGGTAATGAGGTTATTAGAGCAATGTTTATGACCAACAGAAATAAGAGAAGAGAGTATATAGATGACAGACCGAACTCTAGTTATGGTAGAAAAAATCGCAGCGCTAGAGTTACTTCAAATTACGCATAATACATAAATAAAGTAGGACGACAAAGAAGCCAAAGAAATATAGCTTAGCTTCTGTCCATAGAACAACAGACCCACTTAAACTTAAGAAACGTAGTATGTAGGATAGTTAAAGAAGAAGTTAAACATATCTAATCTATAAACTATAACTGATTATAGTACTAAGTAGTCGAAGTTTTGTACTTACCAATGCACATTCTTGGTCCCTCTCCAAAAGGTAAATGAGCCATGGGATGTCGCTTAGCTTTATTTTCTTCGCTAAATCTTTCTGGATCGAATAGATCTGGATTAGGGTAATTATCTGGATCTCTGTGTATGGCTAAGGTTGGAATGACTACCTTAACTCCTTTTTCAATGACAACATCTGTATTGGGAATTTTAAAGTTCTCATTACACACTCTTGCTACTGCTGCAGCTGGTGGATGTAGACGAAGAGATTCTAAAAGAATAGAAGAGCCTATAAATAGAGCGGTAGCGGAGTTATCGTCGGATTCACTCCCCGCCTCAGAACATTCTCGACGCGTTAGTGTTCTGAGCTGTTGGACGCGAATCCTGTCCTGGCATTTGGTTTTTACCTCTGGCTGCGTTGAGTAGTTGAGTTACTGTGACCAAATGCCCATCTTGGTAGTTAGTATTCGCCTCTGGTTGCGTTGAGTAACTGATGTTACCGTTGCTAACTACCCTTCTTCCTGTCTTTGTTTTATTTTTCTTTTATTTCTCCTGAAGAAGCTACATACAATTGTAGCGAAACGTCGAGATGAACCCACTTTTGGGTCACTCACAAATGACACGGTCCAAACCCGGAAGACGAATAAACTATAATTCTGACTCTGGCCGTGGAAGCCTACGATTTCATTTGACAAAATATCTATTTAGTTCACCAAAGGAGTAGGGGAAAGACAAATATTAAACTTTCGTTATGTATAAGCACAAACTTACCATTGACAACTTGATCCAAGTACGTCATCTCCATAATCCCGTCATATGTAATCTCATTATTATGCTTTTTTAATACAGTCTTTATTTCATTTCTTAACTTATCTTGAACTTCTTGGTCCTGCGCCAGCTCTAATAGTGTAAAACTTGTAGCAGTTGACGACGTTTCAAAACCAGCGAGGAAAAAGACGAAACACTGAGCAGCTACTTCATTGAACGACAAGTAGTGACCGTTTGGGTCTTTGTGGTCGTCAGGTTGAATGTCTTCATCGTCAGTGACTTTGCCTTTGTTTTTAAGTTGAAGTAATAAATGCATGAAGTCTCTTCGGAACACATTATTCTTCTCTCTGTAGTCTACGGTACTTTTCACTATACCCATAAAGAAGTCCTCTAGTTCTGGAGAAAGCATCTTTAGTTTTATTAAATCAAGTATCCAAGAGGGAAAAGTAGTTCTCATCAGCATCCTTAGTTTACCTTTTTTACTACCTCCTTTAAATATATTTATACCAAACTGTCTAAACTCCGACTGAGGGTTCTTGAGGCTATTGCAATCGATGCCGAAAGCTGCAGATCCGATAATGTCAGTTGTAAATCTTGACATAATCTCTTTAATATCTACACCATCGGTGTGATTAGCTTCTTTTTCTAGAACGTTTTTTAATTCTTCCGTACAGGCAACCATTGTTGGAAACATCATCTTCATTTTACCTACAAAATAAATAAAATGTAATTATCTCAGGTGTGCCTAAAGACCCATATGTAGGACGTTTCAAACTTACGATGGTCACGTCCTCACGTTCGATATCGGTGAATTTTACTTTTAGGTTTATTATAGTTAATATATGATATGAATATATAATATGGGATATAAAAGAGCTATAAAGGACCTAAAAAATAATAAAGCTCCAGGACACGTCGGTATAATTGCCGAGCTCTTGAAAACAAGCAAGACATTAACAATCCCTGTACTAACAGAGCTATTTAATAGATGTCCCCATAAAAGCCAGATACCTAAAGACCGGAACGAGAGTCTAGTAGTACTCTTACACAAAAAAGGGGACAAATGCGATCTACAGAATTATAGACCTATATCGTTGCTCAGTCAAGTATACAAACTATTTATGAGAATTATTAATAACCGGTTAACCTACAAAATGGATAATTACCAACCGATTGAACAGGCTGGCTTCCGCAAAGGATATAGTACATCAGACCATCTGCTGACAATGAGAACATTGATAGAGAAGGCAAATGAATACCAACTACCCGTATTTCTTGCCTTCGTCGACTATGAAAAGGCGTTTGATAGTATCGAGATGTGGGCCATAAAACAAGCCATTCATAATTGTAGAATAGATTCGTGATATAGGCAACTAATACATAATATATATGAAAATGCAACTATGATAGTAAAACTAGACGAAAATACAAATCCCATCCCCATTAAGAGAGTAGTGAGACAAGGAGACGTAATATCGCCAAAGCTTTTCAACCTAGCCCTAGAAGACGTCTTCAAAACTACAAATTGGTCAACCTATGACATTAACGTTAATCGCAACAAGTTAAACAACCTCAGATTCGCTGACGACATAGTGATTATAACGAGCACATTCGAGGAACTGCAAATTATGTTGGGGGAACTAGCAGCCAGCTCCTAATACGTCGGCCTAAAAGTGAATATGAAAAAACAAAAATAATGACAAACACAGATGGCCCCAGACACATAACTATAAACGGCAGTGAGATAGAACAAATCCAGGAATATATCTACCTAGGCCAAATCTTGAGACTTGACAAAGAGAACCAAAGTGCGGAAATTACTAGAAGAGCAAGACTAGCATGAGCAGGATTTGGAAAACTTTAATAAACATACTTTAATCTTTAATTGTGGCTTATTCCCATTTAACAGTAATTAGTTTAAGACACAAGAAAATAGCTTAAGAACAATGTCGTAATATCAGTGTGATTGCATTTTATTTTTGTATTTGTATTTTTTGAGGTCTATACAAACATATTAAATTAAAATGTATTTATAATGTAGATAATAAGAGGTATAATAAAGAAGGACAAACAGTCTTATCTCATCTCAATCTAATTTTAATCAACTTGAGTAAATAAAGGAAACAAAATGCTAAAATAATGCGTAGTCACGATAATATCCAACTTAGGAAATAAAAACTTCACGTTAATATAAGAATATTTCTTACCTGTAGTAAACGTAGGCGTCAACTTGGCTCTGAGTTTCCTCCACTTGTCATTCTCCAGGAATACCAAATGGCCCGACAAAGGATCATTTTTTTCATTTGCGTAACTACCGCGGTTCACAAAACTGCCAAAATCTTTCTGGAGAACGGATTTCACAATATCCAAGTCGACTGGAATAAATGACTGTTTGAAGAATTCGTAATGTCCTCCATATTTGACCCCTTTCGATTTCAACTGATCGTAGAAAAGCTTATATTGATAATTTAGACTAACTTTTCCTTTGAGCACGTCACTTAAGTTTCCGTAGAAAAACTTTGGCTCTACTTGGTATACACCTCGTCTTGTCCAGTAGCTGTAGTGCCATTTCTGATATAGATACACCAGAATTATAATGGTTATAACAATCAGAATCATTGTACTAGTACAGACATTCGTTTTTGATTCTTTTATTTATATAAAGTTGATTTAATTCTAAGCACACCTGTACAAAAATACTCCAGTATCTAAAATATAATTAATTAGTTTTGTTTGACTTCAGATAGCATATCTATAAAATAAAATGTAGATTTTATATCCACAAATATTTGCACTCATATTGTTACTGTGTTAACTACCTTTTACAGAATAACGTAATTATTTATTTAATTAAAATATTTTGTTTAATTTTTATATAATGTTAATTTAGGAATTTAATTAGGTAAATTTAGTTGTATTTATAATTCTTGTCACATTAATTAGTTACTCATAGTTATTTGCAGCGCATGGATTTCAATTTTATTAATTTACAATTACAGGTACAATTGTTTAACCTTCCCGCCTCTGGTTGATTTTCAAAACGACTTATTAGTACAGGCTCAGTATATTGCTTTATAAAGAATTCTTTAGCAAACGTCAAACAGCAGATTTCATTACACTCAATTTTGGCCTTCTTCTTTAGTAACTTTTTGTGCCCATGAAATTATCAACATTCGTCTGTATACAGAGTGGCCCAAAAGTATGGAAACGGCTAATTATCTCGTAAAATGCTAATCATAATTGTACAAAATTTGAGGTACACCTATTTTGGAATACGGAGATTCCATAATTGATATTTACAACGTTGCCAGATTTGCCGTTTTTCTTATATTATTAGTAACTTTGGTTTTTCAAATACATCATCCTGTATATTCAGTCATTATTGGAATCTTCTATGAAATACGAGTTCAACCATATGTAACACTTATGATTTTATGTAATCTGGAAGGTCATAAATACATAAAACCGAAGTCTGGCAACGCCTAAATTGTTTCTATAAATTTTTTAATACTAACTATTTTCAAATACATTAAAACGTAAGAATTGATAGTTTAGAACATTTTTTAACATAGTAGTTACGTTATTAAGTGTTCAAAATGTGCTCAATTTGTGAGTTGAGAGCACCCTAATCGATGGTAGAAGGCTTCTACCACATTTCTCCATGATTGTTTAGAAATTATTCGAGATTCATTGATAATTCGTTGCCTTAGCTCCGCAAAACTTGCTGGTTAAGTTTTGTAAACTGAATTTTTCAAGTATCCCTAATAAAAATAATCTTTAGGATTGAGATCGGGTGAACGTGGAGGACATTCAATTCTACCTTGTCTACCAATTTATCGTCCAGGAAATATCTCATCTAAATATCGCCGAACATTTACACTAACTATCTGACGTTAAATTTATTTCGATAAAAAATGGCCCAATTAAATAAGTACCTACTATAACTGACCATACAGTTAATTTTTGTGGTCTTTAAGTATGGTTTTCACGCATTCAGTCTTTAGTGTGAATTTACCACACACCAGTACCTTAAATTGTATCGATTTACACTTCCACACAGTGTAAAAGTTGCTTCATCGGAAAAACATATTCTGTTAACGAAATTTTAATAATTTTCAATTTTATCCATCATTACCTCAGTAAACTCTAATCTACGACCAAAGTCATCTTCACTTAATTCTTGCAATAAGTTAATTTTGTATGATTTAAATTTATTTTTACGTAATAAACGTAAGACTGAAGAATGACCTACATCATGTACTTGTGCAACCCTGCCTGGGGTTGTATGTGGATCTTCAACAAAACTGTTTCGGTCAACCTGATCGGTATCTATCTTTTACTTCTCCAGATTCCTCAAATCGCCTTACAGTTTTTTGTACCGTCGTCTTATGAATAGGAGAACGGTTTAGAGAACGGCATTTTAGAGAAGCAATTTAAACTGCAGAACTTTTTGAACCACAACTACTGTCAATTTTATTTCATAATTTAAATGGTGAACAAATGTCAAAATCACAGCATTCTCCATTTAAATATTTAAATTTATTAAAATCTACATATTTTGCACTGTTTTATGTATTTAAGATCTTTCAGACTACATAAAGTCAAGTGAACATATGGTTGAACTCGTATTGAATAGCTGAACTCGTGTGAAATTCACACTGAATGCGTGAAAACCATACTCAAAGACCACAAAAATTAACTGTATGGTCAGTTATAGTAGGTACTTATTTAATTGGGCCATTTTTTATCGAAAGAAATTTAACGTCAGATAGTTGGTGTAAATGTTCGGCGTTATTTAGATGAGATATTTCCCGGACGATAAATTGGTAGACAAGGTAGAATTGAATGTCCTCCACGTTCACCCGATCTCAATCCTAAAGATTATTTTTATTAGGGATACTTGAAAAATTCAGTTTACAAAACTTAACCAGCAAGTCTTGCAGAGCTAAGGCAACGAATTATCAATGAATCTCGAATAATTTCTAAACAATCATGGAGAAATGTGGTAGACGCATTCTACCATCGATTAGAGTGCTGTCAACTCACACATGGAGCACATTTTGAACACTTAATAACGTAACTACTATGTTAAAAAATATTCTAAACTATCAATTGTTACGTTTTAACGTATTTGAAAATAGTTAGTATTAAAAAATGTATTGAAAAAATTTAGGCGTTGCCAGACTTCTGTTTTATGTATTTAAGACCTTCCAGACTACATAAAATTATAAGTGTTACATATGGTTGAGCTCGTATTTCATAGAAGATTCCAATAATGACTGAATATACAGGGTGATGCATTTGAAAAACCAAAGTTACTAGTAATATAAGAGAAACTGAAAATCTGGCAACATTGCAAATACCAAATATGGAATCTCCGTATCCCAAAATAGGCGTATCTCAAATTTTGTATAATTATGTCTAGTAATTTACGAGATAATTAGCCGTTTCCAGACTTTTGGGCCACTCTGTATATACATCTCAAAGGCATCTATTCGTTTTTCTATTGCAGAGTCTTTTGTCATACTTTCAGAGCCATACAGTAAGACAGCAAAAATGTAACATCTGATCGTTCGGATTCTAAGCTGCAGACTAAAGGTCTGATCATGTAAAAAATGTTTTCATGTTCATAAATGTTTTCCTTGCTTGTTCGATTATTGGTAGGAATTCTTTTTTTTTTTGATTACACTTACTATTGATGTTTACTCCCAAATGTTTTATGGAATTTACCTGTTCTGTTATTTGACCCTTGGCATACATATGCACGTTTATTCGTGTCTTTGAAAATACTAAAATTTTAGTTTTGGAAACGTTTAGATGTAAACCGAACATTTCGCTGTGAACTACCGTATTTATTATATTTTGTAGTTCTTGTGCGTTGCTTGCTATTAAGACGATATCATCAGCATATCTGATATTGTCTATGCTGATTCAGTTAATCTTAATTCCGCCTTGGACCTCGTCTAATGGTTCTGTGAATATAAACTTTGAATACAAATTTAACAGTAGCGGTGATAAGACGCAACCCTGTCTCACTCTTCGTCGGATTTGTATATCAACGGATGTTGTGTGCTCTGTTTCAATTGATGTCATTTGGTGGCAGCATAGTTCTGAGATAATTTGCAAGTCTTGTTCGTCAACTCCAGGTGTTCTTAGAATTTCGATCATCTTTTGATGGGTAAAGCAGTCAAATGCTGTTCAATAATCAATAAAACATGCAATTTTGGCCTAATCCGATATAAACATAATAAACTAACTATACGGTAAGGTAAACAAATGGAGAAAGATTATTGGATCAAATTTAGAACATTATTGATAACTAAGTTTTAAATAACTTTTCGCTAACTTTTAAATACTAGAGGATATTCCCGCTATGGTTCTAATATTAAACAGAAAGAGCAATAATACCCATCGTATAGATTATTGTTAAATAAAACAGCTAACGCGATGAATCATAAACTCAAATACTTTACATACAAGGTGAAATATTGTATTTTCTAACATATCTTGCACTTTGATTACTTTTAAAAATTTCATGGATTATGTGATCTTGGTTTTAATATAGTTCTTTTTTGTTTCAGGTAAGAAAACATTACCTACATGTTCTGCAAGTATAGTATAATGTATTAAACAAGAACACATTACCTACATATTCTACGAGTAAGTTATTTTGTAAGTATTGGTTTTTTAAATATGTGTAATAAATGTATAAACGAAACTTTATCACATTTAGTGGACATCACTCATCACCTATTCTTTGCACAAATCTTTTAAGTGCGCTATTTGTTGTCTATAGATTTTACTTTTTAAGTTTACCTAAAAATAAAAATTAATTAAATATAAATCCGGTCGTTGTGGAGACCATTCAGTGCTCTTGACTAACAACTTACAATCAAAGCATGAAACGAAAAAGAGCACCGTCGCATTGGAACAATAAATATTCTATATTACGCTCTTTAATATGGTCAAGACGGGGTTACTAGCGACTTCCAGTAATGCATTTATATTTCCGAGATGTCAACAGGATACCATACTGGTAAAATGCAGACATCGAGGCACTAAGATATGAATGAGGAGAAGGTTAACGAGAGTAAGGGACAGAGCAGAGATCAACCCGGGGGTCATCGAGAAGATCGAGGAAGAGTACCGCGTAAGGAAGAGGGAACTTTACAGGAAAATCGGTACAGAAAAAAATAAGGTACTAGAAAGAGCTGTGTCAAAAGCAGAGAACAAGATCGTCATGAAGAAGTTCCATGCGTATCCTCCTTACGAAATGCCTGTAGACAAGAAGCTTAAGGTAACACGAGGGCTGTTTCCGAATGGCAGATAGCATGACGTATGGCGGGACGAGGGAGCTGAGCGGGCCATACCCGTTACCATGGATGAACGTGTCGAGGCATTGGGTTCACTTAAGACGCGCAGGTCCCCCGGATTGGATCAGATATCACCTAAGGCGGTGAATGGTCTAGGACGGGCGGAACTTGCCTGGCTTCTGGAACACATGAATGCATTGCTGGGAGCACAAACCTTTCCTTAGCCTTGAAGGAAACTGGGAAAAACTATCACCCCATCTGTCTTTTTCCTTGCATCGGTAAGCTGTATGAAAGGATACTGCTAGTATCCATAGACGACATGATTGAGAAGTCAGG